CCCCCCCCCCCCCCCCAGTTTTCTACAAGGAGTATGGATATAGATATAGAAATAGGCGTGGACTGATTATGGGTTTAAAAAAAAAAAGGTAAAAGTATAGAATTTTTCAGAATCCAAATATATTTTCCTTAGAATCCTCAATGAAATTGCATGGAGGGAGAAAGATGACACTTCATTGACATTTTTTTTTCTTTTCTTTCAATTTATCTTTATTGTTGAAAGTATTACAGATGTCCCCCTTTTTTCCCATTGACCACCTCCACCTGCACCACCCCACTGTCCTCCCCTGTCCTTCACCAGACTATTATCTGTGTCCCTGGTTTATGCATACATGCAAATAATTATGTTCTTTAAGGTGGGAAGAGATTAACCAGAGCGACTTTCATGCATCTTGATTGCTCCATGAGTATATATATCATTAAGAACTCATCAAGTTGTGCTCTTTAAGTATATTGTACATAAATCATACCTCATTGAAGGTCATTCAAAATTTAGTTTTCCTTCATACTTTCTAGTAGACAGTTCCTGTCGTCTGTATGTTTCACTTTTCTCATACTTTTACACAGTCTTGGAACTATAAAAACAAAATAAATTATACATAGAACATTCTCGTATTTGGCCTCAAATTATATACTAGCACAAGGTAGAAATTTGAATGTATCTTAGTCAAGTTATTTTCTCTCAAAACTTCTATTATGCTAAGAAATTCATTTCTGCAGCTTTCGATATGTGACACTAAGTTTAGCTTCCCCACTTTCTGGGGGAGAGGAGGGAGCAATATGCTAGTGATGGATGTTCATCGCCTACCTGTGGCTGCCCTTCAGAGGCGGGAGGGAAGAGGAAAGGTGATATATTGCATCACTAACGATTTCACACCATTGTGCTTTAGGATAGTGCTGTATCTTTTTCAAGCCTCCTTAATATGTCTTGCCTCTTGGTTTTTATCCCACTTGCTTCAGCATTTAGTGTGACATGTGGGTTACTAGGGCACTGAGCCGACAAGGGAGATATGAAAAGGAAAAAGCACAGAGAACAGTGAAGCCTGAATCCCCACGATGGTTAATAGTGTGGAGCTCTGAGATGAGGCTGAGTGAGGAGAGAAATCCATCTCCCCATGAGGCCTGAGGCTACGGGAGTGAATTCCCAGGACAGTCTGTGCTAAATCAGAACTGCAACTAACATGCTCCCAAAGGGGGGCGATGAAGCTGCCAAACCCTTTAGGGTATCTCAGAAGTGTCGTGTCGTCC